CACACACACACACACACACACACACACACACACACACACACTTTTAGTGCTCCTGGCTACACGCCTTAACATTTTAACTTGACATTTATTCAATATCTCAAAAAGACATATTCACCCTCTCACACAGGAAGATGGAGGTGGAACAAAAGAAATCAATAATAAATTAGAGTTTGTGCCTCCGCTAAACTGAATTCCATTATTTCTCAATGAGCTTGGAGCAAATTGTGTTTGTGTGTCCAACACATATCTTTTAACCTGTGTGTGGGTATTAAAATCATAAATAAACAGCTGAGCCTGCTCTCTCTCTACTTTTGGAATATTAGACACTTTCAATGCTAATTCACTGCCATGTCTTAGTGATAGTTTACGGTAACATAGTGCAATACAAGTGTTAATAACAATAGTACAGACCATATTAAAACTAGCGGCTGATTGTTAACACACTAGTAAAATATTTATTATGTTCACCATCTTAGTTTAGCCCATAGACCACATAAAAAAAATGGATGACGTGACTTCTCCACAGAAGTGGAGCTGAAGTGTCTTGATCGCCAACTGGTGGCTGGCTGCAGTATACACGGAGCACAGCTGCAGTCTTCTGCTGCTGTCCACTAAGCGAAACGTCTCTATCTATAGCTATTATAATATAATTATTATGGGCCGCCTCGGGATTCTCACAGTGTTTTTATTTCACAGATGGGACTTTGTTTTTGAGTTAGAAGCATTTGTTTGAGGGGGGGCGCCAGAGCTTCTTCATCTCTCTCTGAGCTGAGAGATACCAGGTGCACACAATCAAGTCAGTGAGTATCCATAGCAACGTCAAAATAAGCACCCCCCCCCATGGTAACAGGATATTATCAAGACACCTGTAAAGAGCCTGGATTTTCAAAATAAGCCCCTCCCATAGTAACAGAATGTTATAAGAAAACCTTTAAAGAACCTAGATTTTCAAAATGAGCCCCTCCCATAGTAACAGGTTGTTATCAGGAAACCTGTAAAGAGCCTGGATTTTCAAAATAACCCCCCCCCCATAGTAACAGGATGTTATCAGGAAACATGTAATGAGCCAAGATTTTCAAAATAAGCCCCCCCCCCATAGTAACAGGATGTTATCAGGAAACGTGTTATGATCCTAGATTTTACCTTATTTTCAAAAGCAAAAGATACTTTACATCAGATTCTGTACTATATCTCAACTACTGAGCTCCTGTTTTCAGTACTACAAAAGTCACAACAGACAACAGGATAAGAAGCTAATGGATAATCCACTAGAATATAAAAGCAGCTATTAGAGGGTGTGCAGTTACTGCTTAACTGATCATATTCTAATCTCTAATAAAATGTACCCTTATGTGGAAAAACTGTACATTAACTCCGTCTTTATATTCTCCCAGAGGTTATCTGCATTGACTGACCTCATTAATCATCTTCACTTTACTACAAAGGCTCATATACATACTGTATATTGCTTATAATCATTTACCCTTCATTCACCTTGTAGCCTCTGTTCCAGAAAGCAGCCTCACAGCCTCGCTCCTCATCAGCCTCATTAAATTCACATACATCTGTTTAACCTGATGAAGTGAGTTTGGCTGCAGAGAAGAATGCAGCAGTGCCATCAAGCATCTGGCTGCACAAATATCACAGACAAATGAGATGAAACAGGACAAATCATCACACTGTCCATTTCCAATACACCCAGAATGTCTATATATACTAGGAGTGGGCGATAAGAATAAAATCCTCATCCTTCTGTATTGTTTAATTTTATATCAAATCAACTTTATTGAAAAATCAGTTAGGAAAATATATATGAATAAAATAACCCCAAATAAAACAAGAAAATAACAAAAACCTATAAATAACTAAATAAAATTACTTCATGACAATATAGAATCTGTAAATATATGATAACTAATATATAAATAATATTGTTACTATAAAATCCCGATCAATGATTTGAAATTGGTCAAATACAACCAGGGATATTGGTATCAATAAAATGGCAAAATTAGAAAGATCAATGTTTATCTTCACACATAACATATTACCCAGCTATGGTCAAATTACATGCTGCAGGGTTCAAGGGGCAGAATACACTATTGGGCCAATTAGCTGTGTTTTCCCTTTTCTCCATGGATGGTATGCTGCATATGGAGGAATATTACATGGCCCCAGGATTACTGTATGGCACTCTGATATACACAAATTATTTTTTTAATCAATAATATGAGATAATATAACCATGGAATCACAATATTACAATCATGTAATATAGCAGAACTCAAGTTATGGCTATTATCAGCTGATCCATTTCCAGATAATTTAAAAGTGTATTAAATTAGTAAAATCCAACTACCACACATTTCTACATAAAAGGCATCTAGCTACAGCAGCAGCTACTGCAGATGTCTCCATATCATGATGTGGGTCAGGGTTAGAATCATTTGTAAAACAAAATCCTAATGGCACTGTTTCATTTAGACACACTTAAGTTAATGTGCACAATAGGCACTGCATCCATGTATTTTCAACCTTTTCCCAAACTGCAGTATTTTCTACATGTGTCAGCTTTAAAAAACAGATTATCCTCACATCAAACAAATATTATTCACTCACTTTTACATTCTTATACCAGGAAGAGCCATGCTGTCATCTAGTGGTCAGCTGAAGAACTGATCTGCATTGACTGCATTTTGAGCAGCTAACAATTAGGAAGCTTGTAAGACAAAGACATACAAATAACCTTTATACCATTACCTGTATAGAATTAACTATCTATATTCTTAAGGGCTTCAAAATCATGGTATATAGCAGAGATCAACTACAGACCTTTAGCAGCTGATGCATTCCATAAACCCAAATCATTTCACAATTAATGTTATGACCAAAATCTAAAGACCACATTGTGAACTTGTGCTAAACATTTCTACACAAAGGTATCTTGTTATAGCAACAGTAGTTTTCCTCAAATGTCTCCACATCATGACCAGAATCTTGTTTGGAGCTGGGATCATGTATACACTGAATATTGATGATTTGTTTTACTTTGCAGAATAATCACTCCACCTATGACTGTGCAAACTAATTTGTAGCATTTACCAGATTATTTCCATTTTTTTACTTTCCATTCCCCATCAAACCACCCCTGAGCTTTTCAGGTATTAACCAGGACCACTGCTCCTCTGCTCTCTCACCGTGTGTAGCAGCGGTTGCAGACATCTCTGGAGCGTCTGCTGGACACGCAGCTCGCCAGCGGCTCCGCGGAGGACAGCAGCTCTCCCGCCCTGATCCCGCCTGTCGCCCGCAGACCGTTGCCTTTCCCCGGGCTGAGGAAACGCTCCAGCGCCGCTGCCATGGTCGCTGTTTCCCTCCACGTGAACCGAACGGTGTTTACATCCGGACTGACGCCCCAGCTGCGTCATGACGTCACTAACACGTACAGTCGCCTATGGGGATTTTTTTTTTTAATCACCAGACAAAAAGTTTTTGACATTGATCATGACGATACATTTCACATGTATTACATCATATTTCTTATTTATCTTCTTCTATATGTGACGTCATATATGTTTTATTATATTGAAGCTGCTGAGTGATGGTTGTCGTGGTCGAGTTTAATGACAAACGCTTGATTAACTGCAAAACATTTCAGGTAGAATCAAGATGTTATTCCTCCTCACTGCTTTCACAATGCATATCGATATGTATTGAACGTTTTTCATATTGCTATTGATGAAAATTTGAACTAATGATTGATGTTGTTCAAGCACCCAGCTTTGTGATTTATAGATAATTGATGTCCCTTATTATATACCTGAAGGTATTGCAAAGTGACTTTGTGAATTTTAGATTTTAAGCTCTACACAATAAAACTGTGAAAGTTTTCACATCTGCTTCAGAAGTGTAGGAGCAAGGAGACAGGTTAGAGACAGAAAGGAGGCTCACAAACAAACTTTTTTCCAATGGCTTTAACAGGAGACATAAACAGGACAAAAAACCTAATTTCCTTATAACAATCTATAAGAACAGTGGAAAAAGGTGAAAAAAATTCATTAAACAATTCATAATAAACACCTTTCATCGGGCTGATAACAGTGGTACAGATGACTGATTCACACACAAAATTCCTCCTATCAAGTTTTATTAAAAACCAATAACTAAGAATAGATTACATATCCTGCGTCTTAAGATGGAAGAAACAGTAACCTTTTACATTTTGTGTGGAGAGGACGCAACTGACAGCAGAGGCACGGTATTGAAAATAAATGTAAATAAACAACATGAATGTACAGTGACAGGAGAGGAAGGTGTTCAATTAAAAAAATCTAATTTTCTGTCAAAGCCTCCTTAACAACAATGACACATGAGATGAAAAACCTACAGTATGTGATGTATGATGACAACAATCAAGCGAAAACAAAAACTAAAGATGTTTCTTAACCACTCAAACTTTCTCTACTATTATAAATAATTAAAATCATCTGAAAGATTAAATAAGATGCTTTCTTCTGAGTGATAGTCATTTGAACCAGCCAGATGACATGTGCAAATAAAAAAGCAAGACTCAAACTAATAATCATTACATCCTGGGAAAACCTCATATCTTTAAATTAATTATCGGGGATTTGTGAGTGACACACTGTGATAGAAAGAAAACACTGTTCTTTCTTCACCTGTTAAAATGCATAGTTAAGACACTTGAATCTGTCCTTTCTGTCTTTACCCACTGACAAATAAGACGTGTCTAAGATATGTGGTTTTTCTAGGGCACTTTTTATGGCATCCACTACAACAGCAAGGTGAGCAGGACATCAAATGTTTCAATATGTTGGAATATCACATGGAAACTATGGATGGGAAAACAGCGACGTCAAGCTGAAAAATATTAAACGTTTCTTTCAAATTGTTAGAAATAAGAGTAAATACACAGGTTTGAGTTTGGTTTCAGGGACAAAAGTGTGAAACTTTTTCCAGACCAAACTTTTTCATAAGGAAATTTAAGATCAAATATTTGGCCGCTGTAAACACATAAGACAAATGTTCCGTTAACAACATGTTAACAGTTATCAGGATGAATCTTTTAAGTGGTGGCATAAATCTTTCTGAGTTGCAAAAAACAAATTATACATTGATAGTCACACATTGAGGATGATGCCCAGACTCCCTTAAAAACAGCAAAGATACAGACAGACAGACCAGGACTGGTCCATCAACATCAAGGCTGTACTGATGAAGTACACTGAATAATTATTCCTACCAACAGTTCTCATCCATCAGGTGTTCATTTTACTGAGATATTCCAAATGTGAAGATGAGTATTTTCTGTTTAAATGTGCATAACTGATAAATGATATTTACTTTTCACAGTAAACCTGAAAGCAAGATATGGATATGGATTTTTTTGTGTTGTTGATTAAATCATATTAAGTTGACATTTAGTCTACAACCAACAGAACGATGCCTGTTGAAATATTGCAATAAAATCGTACCAGTCTCATGTGCAACATGTTAAACATTCTCCTGAAAATATATACAGAGGTGCACTGTGATCCTGTACATGTTGCATATGCTACACAAAGCTAAAATTAGTTCATTGAAAAACACAAACGGACAGTTAAGACTTTTAAGTCTCCAGGGTCAGCCATGTCAGCTCGCTGCAAATGTGTTGTTGGTAGTTACACAGAAAACGGCAGCGACAGGACAGATGTCAAATGTGCGCAGGGGGGGATTATTTATGTATATGTCTGTAGGGCTGATATCGAGCTCTTGAGCTCATAACAACATGCAATGCAATGCAATGCAATCAGGTAACTTCCCCCCGTGGACCTATTTGACGTGCCTGTTGTCCATTAGCAGCTCAGGTTTTAAAAACACCAAAATAACCCGTTAAATCTTTTATCTGACAGTACACTGTAGAAATGCCCCACAGACCACACAAAGGTCAACAATGAGCCCCAAACATTCATCCAAAGGTTTAAGACATGATTAATACACAACAATTTCATTATTTTAAAATTTCATTTTGATCTAAAAAATGTCAACAATAAAAGCAACAGCAGTAGTTGCAGCAGTCTGTAAAATGCTTGCTGGGCCACTACCTGTTTGTGCAGTGTGTGGGGAGAGAGAGAGTCTCTTTTCCCCACAGTTAGCAAACTGTACAATTTATACTTCTTATTTTTACAGCTCTGTGGGTCACAGCTGTTTAATTTGATCTTGACTGTGCTGAGTTCTGGATTCCAGTGTGAGTCAGTGTCAGTTTGTATTCAGTCTTGGCTGATTTACCTGACTTTTGAAACTGAACCATCACTGGCTGACAGTGGACGTGAGTATGAAGACAACTCTGAGCTCTTACCTCTTGAATCTGGAGTAGAGAGGGTTGTAGGTCAGTTCATCCTCTTCTGCTCTGCTATTCTTTTTATTTAGTTTTCTTTTGGGATTTCTAATGTATGACTTGGGGTCTCAGTGAACCTTGGAATTTTACTCACAGAGCATAAAACTGCAGAAGAGCAAATGCTAACTGAATCTGATCTACTCTTATAGTCAATTAGGCAGCATAATGGCCACTTACTCCACACGGTGGCAGGTAGCAGTCGCCTGGATGCATTACCTGTAGCCTACAGTAAAAAAAAAACAGTAAGGCCAGTGACTCCAGGGTGCTAAAAAAGTGTCTGCTGCTATGACCCAGGCGTAAACCAATGTTGGACATGAGTTATCCCCTGCTGGATCTGGCCCATGTAGAAGTCTGCATTTCTGGAGAAGTCCTGACACACCGATGAGTGGGCGTCCCCCACAGCACAGTAAAGGGCGGTGCCACCCACACTGATCACTACAGTAACAAGACAAAGCAGGATGAGAAGCAGGCAGGAGTCTCCACCGCCAACGTCTACAGAGAGAGACAGACAGAGGGAGAGACAGAGGGTCAACACAAGTACACAGGAAAGGATTTATAATGTGTGATTGGGAAGTTATAATTCATCAAATACAATCAACACAGTCACAATGAATTTGGACACTGTGTAAGTTTACCCTGTCAGTTAGCTTGTTTATACCAGTTCCATGTTTATGCAGTGACGAGTATCTCTGAATCTTAGGCAATAAACAAACACACAAACCCTGCTCATCATCGTCAGGAACTCTGAAGCGGACTCTTCTTTTGGCAGTGGCTTTGTCAGGCAGGGACTCTGAACTCGAAGACACACTCACGTTATCCACACAAACACTCCTCTTCTTCAATATGGAGACCAGGCCAGATGCAGGAGACATCTGAAAAGAAAAACAAAGATTTTAAGAGACACATTAACAGAATCTTGCAACAAATACAATATGATCTGTTCGTCTACACTGACCATGTTGCACCTCACCGATCACATCCACCAGCTGTAATAAACACGCTACAATCAGCAGCAATGAACTTCAACCCTCCAACAGATTTACTATCACACTGTACCAGGAACAACGCTCCTGTGATAAAAGTTATGTTAAGCACATTAGACGTCACTCATCTAAGGTTCAACACAAAATTTTAAAATACAGTTAGCAACAACACATGAACATGGCCGTGTGGTGGCAGACAACCAGATTCAGGAATAATTATTAATAATAATTAATAATTATTATTGTCAGGCCTCTTCTCTGTTTGCCCAGCTACCTAAGAACTCAGCTCTTCTCATTGACCTCTCCCTCTTCTCTATCACATCTATGAATGTAAGTAAGACAATCAATCACACCAGAAATGCTCTGAATAAAAGCTTTTTTAATTCTCACACCAGACAGATATAAAACCATATTCAGTTGTCTATACATACTGCAGTAAGTATATTTGAATAGCAGCACAATAACCCTACTAGATGTTGCAGCCCCCCCCCGACCCCCGAGTCTAATTCTATTCTAGCTCTAATTCTCTTAGCATAGAAGAGTTCACTGTTACATTGCTTTCCATATCTGTAGTCTGTAATCTTTAGTCTTGGATTCACTGTAATGGCTGGGTAATATCATTACATCTGCTGTCCACTCCTTCATAGAAGAAAAAGCCTGGCTGGACAGAAACAGAAACATCACCATGATTATATCTTTAAACTTTGTGGTTCAACCAGTATATTTTTGTCGAGTGTGTGTATGGCTCGAAAGCTGAAAGGAAAACAACATGTAACAAAGCTGCACATATAGTCTTACCACGTACATGCACATCATCAACAAATGCCCAAAAATACCCAACAAATTAAATCCATCAAATATAGCAACTTAGCAACAAATGGAGAAACAGTATGAAAATGACCCCATCATTATGGCACAATGGCTCATTGAATGGTAATGAATTTGAATATAATGTAAATTATATGTTTAACAGTCACCGGATCACAACCAAATTGAAAACACCAAAATACCAACTGAGGGAATAATGTGAGAGTGACGTTCATCCCCTCAGTAGAGACAGGGACTTGAAGAATCAATACCAGAGCACATTGGAGCTGTGTCTCAACACTTGACTGATATACTTCATTTTGGTATTTCTTTTGGTTTGTCACCCGTCTGTATGTCTCATGTGTTTACAGTGCAGCTCCTCAGGTCCTCTGACAGTCTGTTAGTTTTTCCAAAGTGCATAACTAAAATCAGTGGTGAAGCAGCTTTTATGCTCTCAACTTCTTGCTTTTCTTATTTCTGTGTTGTTTAATTTGAATATATCCACTTAAATTCACTTTTCTTTTAAACAAAACATTTTGACAATGTGTTTTTTATTCATTTAGCCTTTATCTAACCCTATTTATTATTATTAATACGATTTTTTATTAAATATTAACTATAATTTACTGTCTTCATCTACATTATTTATTTATTTATCTGTGTTCTTTTTTAATTCATCCACTTTTAGGGTCAGTCACCTATGAAGAACTGTGAACTGCACTGACCTGCACAAAAGAGCTAAACTTATTAAGTTTGGTTGATTAATACTATCATTTCATCATCATTTGTCTCTATTATTTAAATTCTCTCACCTCCTCTACGGTGATGAGTTTAGCCATGTCGTCCAGTGAGGCAGCTTCTCTGATGAGGTCAGCTTGCTCTACTTCATACTCCTCCTCCTCCTCCTCTTCTTCCTCTTCATGCTGCTCCTGCTTCTTTATATGAGCCTCCTGAGTAAGATGGGCCTCCTGGTGCAGGCAAGTTTCCGTGCTCTCCTGCTGTGATAATGGAATGAGGTTATATACATTTGTGAGGACAGTAATCCTATTTGTTGCTCTGCTCTATTGGACCGCGCAAGGTAGAACAGAGGAAGTGATACATTTGATGTTTCCAGCAATGATTCATTCATATTAATACAGGAAGTAAGTGGTTAGCATGAGCTGTGATAGCCATTATGTCTTAGGGAATCATGAAAAATACAAACATCATAAACAGAGGTTATTTTAGGAAAGTAGGACCACACTGATAACACATTACTTCCAAATATTTACTGAATTTTGATTTGCTATGATTACTTTTTTTTGGATTTGATCAGGGCATAAAGTTTCTACAAATCCATGGCTTGGTTCATTACATTTTTTTTGTGAGTCCCCAAAATGTTCCAACACAGCTGACTTAAATGTGCCTAGAAGGGGAGTCTGCATTAGACTATTCAAACATCCTGCCCTAAATTAAAATACAATATATTTTTTACACGTGTTATAGTGTTAATTGTGAAATTTACAAATTAGTAAAGTAATGAGAGCTCATCAGGCTGCACTTGCAGTGGCAACAGCAGATTGGAAATGGGGAATCATGATATGAGATTTTGGACGATTGTATCCCAATTTCTTTCTCAGTTTCAGAATTGTTACACCCCTGGTATATGGTAAATCTATTTCTAATTTTGAAACTACATTAAAGAAGCCAACACATTGTGATATATACCTGGGTATGCTCGTGTAGTTTCTCTTCAACTGGGACTTCCTGGTGCAGCTGTTCCTCCACATCTGCCCCACTGCCCAGATTATCCACTGGGAGAGCTCTCTGATAGAATACAAAGTCTCTTTCTTTCTGCTTCTCCTTATCGTCTTCCTCTCCCTCATCATCCATCTCCAAAGCCTCTACTGCCTCCTCTATGCTCCTCTCCTCTTCTTCCCTTTTTACCTCCTTTCCCTCTGCTAGACCTAAATCTCCTCCCTGCTGCTCTGCGGGCTTGGACTGATCCATTTCTCCAGCTGTAGAGGGGTGCAGACCATTTTTTATGGCTGGAATGGTGTGTCCCAACCCCCCTTCTGCCCCGCCTCCCTCTCTGTCACTACCCTGCTCGTCAGTCAGCTGAGATCCATGGAAACCATCCCTCCCATCAAAAACCCTGCCTGGGTCTTCCCTGTCCTTATCTATGATCTCAGGGAGACTGATTCTGTCGGTCAAATTAATGTAGGGGGTGACCGGATCACCACTCTGAGGACTGGAGTCTTTGTCTCTCTGCTCCGTCCCTCTGTCAACCTGATCAGCTGGATGAAAAATAGAGAGAAGAGGAGGAGAATGAGTTTTGGTGGGGGAATAGTAAAATAGCGAATAGTGGTAAAAGAAGAAGTAAAAGGGGACAGAGAAGAAACAAGTTTTAAGTGGAAAATAAAATGAGATTAAGAATAAAAACATCTATTCTTAAAATTAGGATAGTTGAATAAAAAGAACCGACATGATCACTCAGTACTCAGTAACAACTCAGTACAATCCAATGTGCTCCAAATCAGATTTTTCAATTTAAAATTGAGTACGAAGTATTGCTGTATTTACTTTTTTACTTTTTACTCACAGAATGAGCCCTCCCTACATCAGGAAAGGTTTATACTGAAGCACAGAGCAGACAAACCAAACACTGCCTGAGGGCTGATCAGGTTTTTATATCACTCAAATGCTACGATTTGTTTTCCTACATGCTTGGGAAGAGAGGGTGAGGTAAGAGGTATCGAGTTTGTTGCAATACGCAACTTCACAGCTAGATGCCGCCAAATCCTATACACTGAACCTTTAAGTGGGTCCTCAAGAATAGCATGTACAGTAAAAAACGATAGCAACACTAAGCAGGTTTTGTTGATCTGATAACAAAATGATTTTCTTTGCAGGCAATCCCATTCCTCTGTGTCGTGGGTGTGCATGTGTTTGTGTGTGCAAGTATAACGAAATGGCACTTTACCTTGTCTCTTTGTTCATGCATTTGCATGTTTAACTTCTACTTTTATTTTAGTTCATTACTTCAAAAAATACAAAAGCTTGGTCCTTTTGCATCACACACACAGCATGACATTTTTCCCAACCAAAATATCTGATGTCAGTTCATGCATATACAACATTTTCAAAGGTTATAAGTCTCACAGCTTGAATAGGATCTCTTGTCAATAAACCAATTGTATTGCATGTTTTTGTGCAATTACTACAAATTTCATATGAATAATATTAAGGCAGGCACACCTGCCCTCTCTGTGCACCAGATAAACACAGCTCAACAATGAAGCCATAGCACAAAACAGATCTTTTATGTTATTCGCAAGGGTTACAAATGTTCAGCTGATTATGAACATGTGGCAAGACAAATTAGCCACAGTCAAGATAACTCATGGGAAATGCATCTCATTTGGTTTTGGTAGGCTTTAAAAATAAGGTTTGTGGTTAAAATTAAACATGCAGAATCACTGACACTCACACACTGACATAAATACACCCACTCACTCACTCACCTGGGGAACATGACAACAGAGCAGCACCTTCTTCAACTGTAGGCCTCATAAAGTCCAGAGATGCACGCTGTACACATACATAAATACACTAATAAATCATTTTACACTACATTTACATGCACTAAACAACAAGGTCAATTCATGTGTGAGTTGTACATTACTGAAGGACATGCAGAACTATAATTAACACCATGGATGCTTAGAACATATATATTTTACAAATAAAAAATGTAGGGAATTAGCTGAAATACAAAACACAAAGTCGTTCTGTGTCATCTTATATGTACATGCATGTACACTCATTCTGTCACACACACACAAAAACATACACAAAAACAAAAAATAATGAATGTCTTACCACAGCATCTCTTGAACCTGGTCTATGAACAGAAGCGAGAGAGAGAGAGACAGAGTTAGTGACTGTTCTTGGTCTTAGTAAATGAATATTTGAAACCTGTGTGACCCTTCTGTACTCTCCCAATCTAATATTAGCCCGAACACATTTCCCTTGCTATTACAACATGTGTGTCTCTGTGTGTGTGTGTGTGTGTGTGTGTGTGTGTGTGTGTCTGAGTCAGTTAAGCGAGGTGAAACCTTAGGAGTGTGAAGGCTCAAGTGTCTGAAAGTGCAGCAGCAGCAAAGGACCATATGTTTGAACTATCACTGCAGAGCTCATCACACACAAATGTATACACGCACACATCCACACACTCCTCATTAAACAAAACACAAACACAGAGGCATGATAGAAGACAAAAAAATATGCTGCCAATTAGAAGTTGTGTTATTATTATGTCGCCCACACATTCAACATGTAAACCATATAATTCTGTATATTTAAAGAAACAAGTGTGACATGTGCTTCTATAAAACATTAACAACAGACTCCCATAGAGATAAGTTAGAAATGAGTAGAAAAAAA